GTATACATGTTTCATTGTGGATGGGAGTATACATGTTTCATTGTGGGTGGGAGTATACATGTTTCATTGTGGGTGGTAGTATACATGTTTCATTGTAGGTGGGAGTATACATGTTTCAAATATTTCCAAAAAGGCAGAATGAAGAAGTACTTTGATATCTTCCCCCAAAGTGTCTATAACATGCTCCTGTGAGGCCGTCCGAGCCGGGGGCTTTGTTAAGACAAAGGCGGCCAATTACTGCATCCAGTTCAACAGCTGTTATTGGATTATCACATGCCTGTTTGAAGCTATCTTCCACTTTGGGAATATATTTAGCTATACTATTTAAACATGTCTGACAGTCCTTACTAGAATATTTGGAGGTATAAAGCTGACTGTAGAATTGAAGGATTTCTGAGGAAATAATGTTTTCGTCTGTTGTTTCTATATTAACAACCATTAAAGATTTGATACTGTTTCTAACCTGCCTTCTTTTTTCAAGAGCACAGAAGTATGCCGAGTTCTTCTCCCCTACCTCCATTTAGCTCTGGATCTAATAAAGACCCCTTGTGCTCTTTGAGTATACATTTCATCTCATTTAGGTTGAAGGCTAAGTCTTTTCTGTCTGTCTTCTGCAGAAGGGTCAGGTTTATTGCAGTAACTTTGTAGTTGTTTAAGTGTGTCTAGTTCCTTACTTTGGAGTTCTTTTTTATAATGTTTACTGAATGAAATTGAGAGTTGGTGTACTTTATATTTAAGGAACTCCCATTTTGTTGTTAGCTCTTCAGAGTTTAAAATGTCAATAATCAGAGATTTCATCTTTTGGCAGTAATCTTTATTTTCAAGCAGACTGGAGTTAAACTTCCAATATTTATTTGAATGTAGTTCTTTGTTTTGAGGTTTCACACATAATGAGATAATACTGTGATCAGTGGTGCCGCAGAAATATCAGAGCTGATATCATGACATAGCAAGTTGTTAAATTAACCAGTGGTCAATTCTGTATTTGTGATTTGAGTTGAACCATGATAATTGGGATTTTCCTGGGTTTAAATATCTCCATGCATCGATCAGACTTTGTTCATCGCAAAGTTTAGCAAATGTTGAATTTGGGTAACTTGTAACATATTTGGAAGGATATCTATCATAAAACTCATCCTGGACTAAGTTAAGATCACCACCAATGATGGTGTTATCAGTGGAGTGTGATGATTTGAGGTCATCTAACCTTAAACTCATTTGTTCAAATCATTTCTTATTTTCTCTGTTGTCATTGTAGCCATAAATGTTGATTAAGATGAGTTTGAGTTCATCAATGGTCAAGATAAGAATCAGCCAATGAGCATGAGCATCTGCAATATGGGATAGGACTTGACCATTGAAGTATTTGAGTAGAATGGCGACCCCTGCTGACTTGGGAGTGCCATGGCTGAAGTACACTTTGTCTCCCCATTGGTGGGACCAAAAAATGGCATCCTCATCTTTAGAGTGAGTTTCTTGTGGGAAAATAATACTGGCAAATTTCCCTTTACAGAATAAAAAGATAGTTTTTCTTGTTGTGATGTTTCTTAGTAAGAGAGATGTCATTCTTTAAATAAAACATAAAACTTGTTACAGTCATCTTTCGAAACACATGGTAATGTAGAGAGTGGTGGTGAAACAATGTTATTCATTGTGTCAAATAGCATCATGGGATTTTCTTTTTTTTTCAAAGCACCGCAGTCTCTTCTCCTAAGTCCTTTTGAATTCTCCTATCCACTATTCCTTAACCCCGTGACGTTTCACACAGAGGTCGAGGAATAGTGGATAGGAATACTAATACCTAATACCTAATATATATATATCATTCCAATAACTTGTATATAGACTCATACTGCACTATTCCACATCATAACTTTATTTCATTTTTATAACTATTATTATTTTTGTATTGCTCTTGCTCTTATTGTTATTATGTTATGTTATTATGTTGCATTGTTGGAGAAGCCTGTGACATAAGATTTTCAACTGCATAATTACTCTGTAGCTATGTCAGATTGACAATAAAGAACCTTGAACCTTGAACCTTGAACCTTGAATAGGAATAGACGATAGGAGCTGATTTTTGGACAATTCGACTGCAGCCAAAGTCTTTCTGGGCCCAGTGACGTCACAGACTGAAACGGAGATGTTAGTACTTTGGACACTTCTTCTGATTACACTGATATCAGTACTCAGATCTTGTACTTGAGTAAAAGTAGAAGTACTCAGATCTTGTACTTGAGTAAGTACCAGAGTGTAGGAATACTCTGTTACAGTAAAAGTCCTGCATTCAAAATGTTCCTCAAGTAAAAGTAGTGATTGTGCAGATTGGTCCATTTCAGAATAATATATATGATATGTTTTATAATGATTGATCATGAAAGTGTTCTCAAAGCTGGTAAAGGTGCAGCTAGTTTGAATGACTTTGTATACTGCAGGGTAGCTTGTGGATTTACTCCAGGTGGAACTAAAGTCTGATTTAACACTTGATTATATTTCACATCATTCATCCACATCTGTGAAGTAACTAAAGGTATTAAATACATGTAGTGGAGTAAAAGTACACCATGTACCTCTGAACTGTAGTGGAGCGGTGTGCTCTGACTCAGGATCAGATTAAAGTTGATGTTCATGAATGCCTTATGATGCTGCTTTCTGATTGGCTGACATCAGCACAGCATTGAACTCATGATGTGCGGTGAGGAGAGCCAATTAGCTCGCAGAAGGAGTTGTGATGAGGTTAATGTGCATCAGCTCCACTAGTTTTAGAAAGGCGCAGGTCATTTCAGATGACTTTCTTCTCCCTGCTCCTTTTCGGTCCATGGTGTGTTTACAGAGACATGTTTTGTTAACAATTATTATACATTAAAATTTGCATACCATGAACGGAACAAATACAAATGAAATGAAATATGGAGTTTAATCACGGCAGCATTTAGCTGAGTTTCTGCTGCTAGAATTCTCCTGATCAGATGCTCGGCATAAGCTCCGCCCCTCTTTTCTTTTAAACCAGAATCATCTCTTTAGTAACAGAGGAGGGATGAGGCTAGAATGATCCGTTTGGTATTGGAGCAAAACACATCATAGACATGTTTTTTATATATTTGTATGTATCTGAGACCCTTAATATATGCCTAAAAACAGCACGATAGGAGATCTTTAAACCAGATTTATTTATTCTAATTAGTGTATTTATGTTTTAGGACCCCTCGAAGATGAGATGCTCCATCTCAAGGGGCTACCCTTCAATACATTCTCAGATCTAAAGTGAGGGAGCGTTTACACTGCAGGGTCAGACACACTATTGGAGGTTAACATTATGTTCTGCTCATTGTAATGACTCTGCAATCAGTCTACTCATGTTCTTCTTTAGTGATTACATGGAGATTTAGTGATTCTCTGAAATCTAACTTGGAGAGGTAACATATAAAGTAACATGGAAATACTCAAGTAAAGTACAAGTACCTCTAAACTGAACTTCAGTATTTGGCTTTGAAACGAGGAGATAAAGAAGGCCAGAAACATTTGAGACAAAATGACATTTATTTATTGTTAATGAATGATTTCTCCATCTGTCAATAAATGATAATCAATACACATCAGTATCAGGTATAATGTTTTTAAAACTCAAAGAATATTAAACTAATAGTAAGAATGTTAAACTAAGCAGGAAGCTGATAACCCGGTTAAAACAACAACACAGTAAAACGATTACAATGGAAATAAATTCAAACTTTATGTGAAAAATACAATATTTAAAAGTTATACTTTTTCCCTTCAGCTGTTGATAGATCTTCTTTAATCTCCTTATTCTCATATCTGTTGTTCTGATTAAAATAAACTTCACATTAGTCTGAGTTATTGTTTAACGTTTAGAAAGGTCTCCATCATCCAGCAGGAGCCACCGTATCATTTCAGGACACTCAGCAATACAATCCATCATTAACAAAACTCACGTAGAGTTACACATCTCAAAGGAAATAACATGAAGAGCAGAAAAAACATTTAGCAATAATCTGATATTTGTAAATGATCATAATAGAAAATAAACATCACTTTTAATAAACTTGCAGGTTTCATCTTTTCCATTGGTGGTGATGGTGTCAGGACGTTAATGATTTCTGCACAAAACAATCACACTTTCACATTTCATGCACATGGTACATGTTACTTCCTGTCAAACAGAACATGCAGATTGCTCCTGCAGGGAGATGTTTGTGCAGGAGAACAATAAAGCTTTGTAATTCATTGATTAACACTCGAGCTCTGAGTGCGGGTCTATTTGGACTTCATGTGTTGTATCAGTGACAGAAGAAGTATTCAGATACTTTACTCTGGTTAAAGTTATAATACCACATTGTTTAGATACTGTTACAAGTAGAAGTCCTGCATTCAAAATGTCACACAGGTGAAAGTGTGTAAAAGTATAATCAAAATGAAGCTATAGTAATAAATGTAAAGGTACCCGATGCAGAAGAGTAAAGAGTAGAGTGGTGAAGTAAAGAGTCCAACATTTCACTTTGAACTGCATTCCACCTCAGCGCTGGGTGGACCGGGTTCTCTCATATTCCTACAGAACCGCTGATCCAAACAGCCTCACACGGGGCAGCACCTCCCCCTGGTCCATAGCAACACACATGCCAAACAGGAAGTAGATGGGTCCCAGGGTTGGTGAGATCATCTCAGATATAAAAACACAGACGTCTTCCAGTTTGTTGATAGATCTCCTCTTGGTCTTGCTGGCATCTGTTTGGTCTTGGTTTGGTTTTGATCCAAAGGATTTGTGATCACTGTGGACTCTGGAGGAGCTTCTCTCGGCTGCTCCTTCAGCATTTCTTCAAGACGAAGCATCTTGCTTTGAAAAATGTAATCCTTCAGGATTACATTTTTCAAAGCAAGATGCCCACCCCCCTCCCCCTCACATACAGGTGTCACATCCTCCCTGTAGCCCCCACCCCTCTCACCCCCCACCCCTCATCGCTCATTTTTAATCGCTTCAGGATTAAAAAACTGTTAAACGATAACTTTGTAAGAACAGAAAATAAAAATAAATGACCCATGAACATTTGTGTCATGGTCACTTGGTTGTGTTGGCCATCAAGGACTCTTGATCAGTATCACTCACTATCCTGTCTTGTTTAATTGTGTATTTACACGTCTCTTCTTTGAAATCATGTTCAGCTCTTGTCTTGGTCTCAGTTGGAGCTGGTCTTGATGTTGCTCTCAGTTAAAGATTCTTCACTTTAAAGCAGGTGTTCTCCTCTCCTTACTTTACCCATGAGCTCTGCTTGTCCTCTCATGTCCATCAGGTACTCAACTCGTTGCTTCCAGCCTGACTCGGCCTCAGATTTCTCTCCCTCAATCAGCAGGTCAATGTACTCTGGAGTGGAGAGAGGATTTGGCCTCAGTGCGATCTCTCTTAGTCTGTTCAGACACTCAGCAGACCTCTTCATCATCTCCCTCACTTCAGCCTGAAGATGCTGATATTCAGCCTTCATTTGGTCGATCACTTCCTGAACAGTTCTCCTTCATGCAGTTTAAGTTGTTCAGTTGTCTCTTTAATCTCTTGATCTCCCGAGCTGGGCTAACCCTACTTTAAACTGCTTTTGCACATTTCAAATTGAGATCTGGAGCTGCTGTCTTTCTCTGAGAACTTCCTTTGTCATTGTCAAACTTTTGGTTGTTATCTAATCTAAAGCCACAAAGAACCTCTTCATGCTTTTTGCCCCCATTTTCCAGAGCAGCTTGTCAAAGCCTCCATCTACCTCATCTCCACTGGAGTCAGCAGCAGCAGATGATTGGTTCTGTGCAAACAATGCAGAATTATTGAATTTGAAGTGAACTGGCAGCCCGTCTTTTGTTTGAGGACATGGGACACCTGAAGCTTTGATCGCCTCTAGAACTGGTGGGCGTTGGCCGTCTGAGAATGTCACCAGAACCTGGAGGTTTTCTGCAACATCTTTGCCAAGGATTGAGAGCACAGAATCAAACACATACTGCTGTGTTGGTGTGAGCTGAGCTAAAGAAGCTGGAACTACAAAACACACTGCGTCAATTTCACTGATGCCACTCTGGCAAGAGAAGTGATTACGAATCTGTTCTGTGATCTCCTTGTCTCTTTGTATTTCTCCTGTATCTCCAAAGCCTGGAGTATCAACAATGGTCAGAGAGAAAGGGATTTTAAAGCCCTCTTGGTGGTTGATGTTGTACACAGTGACTTCAGAGGTCTGGCTCTCAGCTTGAGATCTCGACTGATCCTCATCAACTAACTTGAATCTGAAATCGTCCTCCCACTCTACACCAACGATGTAGTTGATGAGTCCATTGATCAGAGTGGACTTTCCAGATCCAGTTGCTCCAACAAGCATGATTGTGCGATTTCGTGTCATGCTTTCTTTGCCAAAGTTGAACCTCCGGCATCCATCAACTTCCATGTCTTCTTCTGTCAGAGGCAGTTTGTAAACTGAGGGAGATTCAGAATTGATCCTTTTGCTTTTCCTTTTGAGGAATTCTGCGAGACGTAAAGGTTTAGTTGTGCGGACATTAACAGCGATGCTTTCTTTGCTTCTTCCAGCTGCACCACAATCACACCTGACCCTGACAGCGTATTCTGTCTCTGGCTGAAGTCCTGAAATGATCGCCTTCTCAGCTCCTGCCTTCATTTGCTCCCAGTGGAGATCTTCCTCTTTCACCTGTTGGTCTGGTTCGGCGTACTCCACGATGTAGCTCAAAACGTGGACATCTTGTCCGAGCTCAGCAGGTTTCTCCCAGCTGACTGATATCTCACCTGAGGTAGATTCAACATGGAGTTTTCCAGGAGGGCTGCAGGGTAAGGTTTGAATGGATCCACTGAGTTCATTGGCTGGCCCGGCACCTACTGGTGTCTCTGCCCTGCATCTGAACATGTACTCTGTGTTAGGACTCAGCTTGGCTAACCCTACTTTAACCTGCTTTTGCAAATGTTCAATTGAGATCTCGGGCTGCTTTCTTTCTCTGAGGACTTCCTTTGTCAAGCTTTTGGTTGTTGTCTTATTAAAATGAACATATAACTTCTCCATGCTTTCTGCCCGCATTTTCAGGCACTTCAGATCAAAGCCTCCATCTTCACTCAGGTCGCTCACTGTGACTTCTTCAGCTTTGGATGCTGTCTCTTGTTTCCAGCCGTCCTCTCCTCTGACACAGTACTCAACAGAGTAGGAGGTGATGTCCTCTGCTCCAAATCTGGGTGGAGAAATGTTCAGCGTCACACTGCTGTGGTTTATATCACTTCCTGTTACTGTTGCAGGCTTTGAAGGCGGCTCAAAGTTCTCATTGACAGAAAAGCCGTCTGTATAAAGGTAGATGCTGGCACCTTTCTGTGTCTCGTTTGTTAAACCCACCGTCAGGAATGTGATGTTCTTGTTCTCCTTGTTGGCCTCTGCAAAATCACTGAAGAGCTTTGCTTTTTGCCGCATTGCTTCCCCTTCTTCTCTTGAGGTGTACCATTGATCTGGAGGGGGGGGTTCTTGAGCATCGTCTGGTTTGGGTGTTTGTTTAAGGTGGTTTGATAAAGTTGAGAGGTACGGTTCATCACTTCCCAGTGAGGTGAAGACAAAACACACAGCATGCTCTGCTTTGAAGCTTTCTTTGTACAGGTCTGTTTGAGATGAGATGATCTTGGTGTTTGTCATCATGTCGGTCAGAGACATCACGGTGTATATTTCTCTCTCCTTACAGTCCATCCACTCGTTCAGGTCCTTGCTGTTGAAAGGAGAAGAACATGTCTTCCTCAGGATCTCTGCGAGCACAGCTTCTTCTTCTCCTCTTCCTCGGATTGATGGAAGTTTCTTTGCCAGGGTTTGTTGGAATTTCAGTTTGAACTGAGAGCACTTCTGTTTAAAGGTTTTGAGTTTTTTTCCAATCTGTGGGAACTGCTGTGCAGTTTGGGTTCTCAGTGCATCATTGAACCTCATTTCCAGGTCACTGAAGTCCTCCAGGACACTCTGACATTCTTCAACTAATCCTATACTTATCTGACGGACAAGTTTAGCGGCAGAAGAATCTAAACATGTCAGAGGCAACAGCCAGACCTTCACTGGTACTGCGTTTTCCCCGTTGGCTCCCAGCAGCTTTGGCAGACTTTGGTACACCTCTACTGCATCCTGAAAGGATGTTGGAGGTTTCTGAATCAAAAAGTCTCCAAAGAATCTGCAGGACAGTTTCTCAACATTTGCTTTGTCCTTGTCTTCCATTTTCAGCGAGCCTTCACCCTCTATTGAAAAGCAGGGAATTTTCTTGATCATCACCTTCAAGTTGCCCTGAATGTCTTGATGGTTCTCGTTGACAGACACCTCACGGTCAAAGACAAAGAAGGCTTGTGCGCCATAAAGGATACCTGTGACTACATGTGTTGCTATTCCTTTCTCAAAGACAGATTTCTGTATCACATCGTCTCTCCCAAGATGATTCATGGACAGTTCGTGGACGTTTGTGGTAGCTTGGTACTTCAGTGTTACTCTGGCCTGATTTTTGGAAGTCTTACTATCGTTCAGGTATTTGGCTGATCCACCAACCTTTACCAGTCCACTCAAGAAACTTGCCTTCAGTGATGCTTCAACATTTAGTGCTGAAGATTTGTCCTCAATTGATTCAGAAGCAACTAAATCACAATCATTATAATTCTGTGGTCTTTCTCCAGTATGTTTTTTAAGGTCCTCAGGGTCCCACAAAGTCATTCCTGCAAAAGAAGAAGAAAGAATCGAGCTCCTTAATACACACTAACTTTAAGGGACAGTCATATAACAAGATATACGTCAAATGCCTTCCTGTGCAGCAGGAAACAGTTGGATCTGGGCTTCTACTGTACAGGTGGTCACTTCTCATCAACGTCTGGAGTATACGAGATAGCTGGTCTTTGAAGAGATTTGGGGCGAAGTTGTCTTTCTCTGTGTTTTTAAAGAATCCTTTGTCGAGCTCCAACTTCTAACTTTCTCTCCGGTCTCTGTCTCTTATCTATACTGAAACATAGATGAGCATTCCCTCAGTGGTGCTTCCTGTATAGTTCCCTGACTCTCACCACTGTTACGCTGACGACACGCAGATTTACTCTTCAGTTAGACAAAATGTGATTGGTAATATTAGTACTCTCCATGACTGCCTGTATGGATGTCACTTAACTTTCTTGATCTAAATTCATACAAACAGAGGTCTTTCTTAGTGCTCCTGGTAACTTTGTCTCTAAACCCTGCATCAGAACCCTGGCCCCCCAACGTCAAACCCTACTCAGGAAACCTGTGATCTTTGACCAGAATCTGAACTTGAGCCTCACATAAACAAGCTAGTCCAAACCTGCTTCCTCCAACTCTGCAACATCACACAAATCTAATCCATGCTATCAACAAGACATCTGGAATAACGTATTCATAACTTTGTATCTGTGTGTTTCCTTGTGGGGGCAAAAAGAAAATGTTGTTCTTTTTTTAAAGGTGATATTTTTTCCTCACCAGGGACGAGTGAGTCGTTGCGGCAGTCGTACAACATCCCGAGGCTGAAAGGCCGTCCGAGCGCCGCCACCTCCATCGTCCCGCTGCCTTCAGAGTCCATCTCTCTGAATGAATTGAAAAGAATCAACAACAGCTCGTTAGTTAACTTCAATGATTTGGTTATATCATGTCCAACCATGCTCACCTTTCAATTAGACCTTTCTACTCAACAAAGAGACACAAAAAGTTTACAAATTGACACAAAGCCTCTACCAATACCGACGATTGGATTAACAATTGGGCCGTTACCGATGTTAATATGTTTTCATGTTTGTTTGTTTTGTTGTTATTTTTTCCATTTTTGTGCAAAATAAATTATTAATGTTTATGAAAAATATTCTAGTTTTTCATTACGTCCATCATAATCCATAATAAGACGTCACTTTTAATGATAATAAGACATATTTAATTGAAATAAATGCCATTCATGAATCAAATCAACCTATTAAATTATAATAGTGCTGTGATTTGCACAATTTACATAATCAATTTCACAGTTTGATTTCTCAAGTATATACCAAGTTGTACTGTTCGAGGAGCGTGGGTCTTAGATTTGTATTGTTTAAACCAGGGGTTCCCAACCCCCGGTCCGCGGACCGGTACCGGGCCGCGGAGGTGTTACTGCCGGGCCGCGAAATAGCTGTGAGTTGATCGTAATATTTGCAGAATTATAAATATATAAAAATATTTTATCATAATGTTTTTTTCAAAAAGTGTTTAATTTTTGCACCTATGCCACCAGTCATATTATTTCATCCAGTAGCTAGTTCATCTTTCACCAGAAAACCGTTGAAAATGGCTTTTATGATGTTCCGAGGGATTCGGCGGCTCAGCCTAAGGTCTCAGCCTCTTGTGCGCACGAGCATGTTACCGGTGCGCCAAGTAGGAAGAGGAGCGCACAGGAGACAACCGTTTGATTGCAGACTGTTATGTTTATGTGGGGAAATGGTGCATACATTATTTGAGATATATTTCAAACTCGGACTTCATTTTAAGGACATGTCGGCCAGGGGTGTAGAGCTATTTGTTTAAGCACCGGATTGGCAAAACAGGAGAGTAAACCAGTCTGCCTTGATCTATGAATTAATGTCCGGGACTCTCACGATCTGCTGCCCGCAGCTGCTTTATAGAAGGAACACCTCCTTCACTTCATGACATGGCTGCAGCATCAGGAGGCAGCGGGACGTATACTCGGTAAAGAGCTGTGCCTTTTTACGCACCGCCTTCGCTGTGTTTAACTTAATCAAAACAGTTTAAGAGTGACTGCAGGCTGCTACGTGTTAACCACACACACATCTACACACATCGAACTGCCCGATTACTCCCCCTTTTATTAGTTTTATGAAGGAGATGTCCAGTCAGTCACCAAGGCGCATGATGTGTGTGTGTATGTGCTCTGCTCAGCTCTGCTCTGTGTGTTCGGTGTGTTTGTGTCTGTCCGACACCAGCATTTGTTTTCAAATGTTTATGAACAGTAATTTACACACATATGGCTAACTCCATATATGCGGCTGTTCCCAAAATAAATGAGTTTAATCTTAATGTCGATGTAGTGCTAAATGTGCACCGGAACGAACGACACTATCATAATATCTTCTGAAAACAAATGCCAGTGTCACACACACACACACATACACACACACACACACACACACACACACACACACACACACACACACACACACCCTGGCGACCGGACATCTCCTTCATAATGCGCCTTCTCCTCGTTTCCCCAGCATTCACTGATTATCAGTAAATCATACAAACAAAACCAAAACGTTGATTTATCTGTTTTCCCGTTTTGGTTTAAAAACTGAATAAGTCCGTTTTTTGGTTTTCCGAAAAACCAAAAAACAACACCGGTTCTTTTTTAAACTTTGTTAATATGTTTTGGATGCATATTGTTCTAGTATTTGTTAAGGCTGTTACATACAATTAGCCTCTGTTGCTACCTGCTGGTGGTGAGTAAATATTAAAATCAGTTAAAATTGACTACCGGTCCGCGATTTTTTTTTAATGTATCTGCCGGTCCTTGGCACAATAAAGGTTGGGAACCCCTGGTTTAAACTACACTACAACTGTTGTGCATATGACGATAAAACCATTTCATCTTTGAACCTTTAGTCTTTGAGGAATATTGGTATATTGCCCAGCCCTGATCTGAACGTTGGCAATGTGGGTAATTCACATGGCCCAGCAAAACATTTTGACATCAGCTATTACCATTGCCAAATATCACCTTTGTTCCACATCAGCTGATGGCGCTGAACGTAAGATAACTACAAACAGACACACAACGACTATACATACATTTACACAAAAGTACTACAAAGATATTCAAAACTTGAATAATGAGACCACTTCTAGAAATGGACCCAAGACTACTACACTACTTCAAAGGGACCTCAAAATGAATCAAGACATCCCTTCACTCTACTAAACAGAGTGCATCCTTTGTGTATATTTCCATCAACACATCAATCTGTACTGTATGTTGTATTTCTTTGTGTGTATGTGTATCAATCTGTTTCATACTACAGAGCGAGCTGCATGCTGTTATCTGTGCTGGGTTTAACATCCCATCAGCCTCCTGTCAGCTGCTGGTTCAAACCTGCACCATGCTGCCCTCTGGTGGCTGCTCACACAAACTGCTCAGGGCAAACTGCACACAGCCTGACATCACAAACAATACCCATAATCAGGGACGTGCGGTCAGGTGAGGCAGGTGGGTCAGTGCCTCACCTATCTTCATGAAAAGTAAAAATAAAAAAAACAATAAAATGAAACAATATAAATATTGTTCCACTGGTCTGTGCTATAAATGTATTTTCTGTAAGATTCCAATCATTTAGATCATTTTATAGTAGAAATCGCTGTAATGGAGTATTTTCTGTTCCTATACGGTGAGAGATGCTGAGCCTCACCTCGGATTGCAGATAATGTTTACAGAGACTTTACTATGCGTCCTGACTCTCCATAGTCTATCTAATGTATGTAATGTATGTGTGTCACTGTGTGACATATCTCTTGTTTATGTGACTGAGGCCCAATCCCAAACCGCCCCCTACACCCTACCCCTACACACTACGCCTCCGTTTGCGCGTTCGCTCGGAGGGTCCGCCACATTAAGTGCTGTTCCAAACCAACGAGTATGGAGCGGTCTGTGAGGGGGAGTGGGCTATCAAGCCCTCAAACAGCGAGTCTGCATCGGTGCTGACTTGAGACCATGGATGTATAATAAGAACTGGATACAGCGTGGGAGGCGGGGCCTCATTCATTCCTATGAGAGTTGCTCATTCGCGCATGATGATAAAATGGCCCAACTTTTGAGAGAGCGAAACGTCACAGATTACCCGGCATGCCTGAGAAGTACCCGTATGTGCGCTCATAGCGCATGCGCAACTTTAACCATGCCCCCCAAAATGCTCGTTCACATCAAGCACGTCAATTTGCGTACACGTAACAGCACCGCACGTTCATGACAGCATGGTAATGGTTTGTTATTATGATAGATTTGATATTAACGAGGCGGCAATTAGCAGCTAGCGGTTAGCTAGTAATTATGCTAATTTACACATCAATCGTTATGTACTTTTATATTACGCTGTAACAGGATCTAGTGATATCCAAGCAACAGAGCTTCATTTAGCATGAAAGAATTATTGCACTGTATATATATATATATATATATATATATATATATATATATGTATATACATACAGTGCAATAAGCTTCTTAGTGCAATAAGAAGCTACAGGGACGTTAATCTATGTCGGTAATATTAACTTTATTTAATACAACATTTACGGTACAAGATTTAATCATACAGCCCATGTAGTATAATATTTTACAAATGATGAATGACAGCAAACATGTGCAATATATCCATTATTACAGCTCCGTGGGCTGGCAGTAAGGCGATATGGGTCCGTTCTTATTGTGCATCCATGGGTAAAGATAAACGCATGTAGTGCTGAACACGTAACATGAACGTGCCGGGCGGCGCGGTCCCGTGGGTTAGATGCGCGTTCATAATGCAGAGGGAAATAACTCACAGAATAACGTTATTAGCACATTTTTACAACTTGAGGAACGAATGTTTTTAATAAGGGCTATACAAGTGTTCATACTGGGTAGTTTATTTAGTTTAAAAAAAATTATCCAACGATTTACAGACCACTCTTTCCCCATGTAAGTCAATGGGAAAAAGTGTTTCCGGGCCTGGCAACCAAAAGGAAGTGTAGTACCGCCGTTTGGCCAGCACGAATATTTTCATCTGAGTCCGGCGCACTTCCTGGGGGCTTGCTTGAGACCGGTCTCTACCTGACCGGAGTCACGCTGTGTGTGTCCGTCAGGAAACAAGCTGTTTAACAAGTAGTTCCAGCAAAAATCCACTGATAAATTGCGATGTTAAAGGAGAGGTGTCATGCTTTTCCGGTTATTACCCGTCCCCTTGTGTGTTATGAAGGTTTTTATGCATGTAAACGGTGTGCAGAGTCAAAACCCTCAAAGTACACCCTGTAGCGAGTAAAACTCTAACACAGAAAATACCTCCCCAAAACGCCTCGTTGGAGATACGTCACTGCCCATTTGAGTCTTCCATTCCGTTCCGGGTACGGCATGATGTCAAGCGGTACCCGGAACGAAATGGACCAATCCCGAAGAGCCGTTACGTTACGTCCGCGGAGCCGTTACGTTAAGCCCCCGCTGATTGGTCCAAATTGACCGATCCACGGACTTCCTCACACACACATCTGTGTGCAGGGAGCAGGCAGCTCAGCTGATTTCTCCTCCCTGGCTGCAGGCTGATAACAGACAGTTGGGATCGCGGTGAATTCTCTCTGCAGACCCGTTCTCTCTGCAGACCCGTTCTCTCTGCAGACCCGTTCTCTCTGCAGACCCGTTCTCTCTGCAGACCCGTTCTCTCTGCAGACCCATTCTCTCTGCAGACCCATTCTCTCTGCAGACCCATTCTCTCTGCAGACCCGTTCTCTCTGCAGACCCGTTCTCTCTGCAGACCCATTCTCTCTGCAGACCCATTCTCTCTGCAGACCCATTCTCTCTGCAGACCCATTCTCTCTGCAGACCCATTCTCTCTGCAGACCCATTCTCTCTGCAGACCCATTCTCTCTACAGACCCATTCTCACAGCGTTTATCAACCTTTTTCTTACTCAATATCAAGCCACACTTATTGTTTTTACTTCGGCTGTGACTTTGTGTGTGCTCAGGATGAGTTTGGCTGTGTTTCGCTATGTATCCTAAACAAGGAAACAACACCTCCACGGAGCTCAGCGCGATTCACAACGTCCCGACCAATCAGAGCACACTGTGCTCCCAGGGAGGGTGTATGAGAAACCAATGTGAGTTTGGAGAGATGCTGTTTGAGAAACCAATGTGAGTTTGGAGAGATGCTGTATGAGAAACCAATGTGAGTTTGGAGAGATGCTGTATGAGAAACCAATGTGAGTTTGGAGAGATGCTGTATGAGAAACCAATGTGAGTTTGGAGAGATGCTGTATGAGAAACCAATGTGAGTTTGGAAAGATGCACAATATACATCTATTCTAGTAGACCTCAACAATGGAATTATGATCAGTGGAAATGGCCATGACACCTCTCCTTTAACAACCTCATGATAACCTCATATTTTTTTAACTTAGGATCATACCTGTGGTTAGTCTAGAAAAAGGTAAATGTGTGCATTTTATTATAAAGTTGTGTATATTTACAGACTGTTGCAAAAACTAAGAAGCTTATAAACATCAGGTTTAAAACTAAAAGAGCTTTACAAAAAAGTAACACAATGAAAGATGTTTGGAGTTTTATTTGAGTTATTAATTTACATTTTTTGTCTAAGAGATGCTGATTTGAAACCGTTGTTACATACAGTTACGGCATTTCCTGTTTCTGCTGGAGAGAGGGGAGTTTGTCCCAAAGCTTGCCGCTGTATCTACTCCCTCCATCTGACAGGAGGGAGCCTCGTTGAGCTGCGAGTGTGGCTACAGACGGAGTTCACTCCGCCACGGAGGGGTAGGGTCGAGGGAGTGGTTTGGGATTGGGCCATAAAATCACAGTAAAAAGACAGAAGGTGAGGCAGACAGTACTCACTGCAGGGGGCGCACGTGAGCCCACCGGTTCTTGTTGCTACGGTGATTCTACGCAGAGACTGTACACGCAAACAACAAGCTCGACTTTTGAAAATACAAGAAGATAAGGAGGACCTTTACAAAAAGGTTAGAGAGATTTTTGTCCAGAAGGATACAGCCTGACATCACAAACAATACCCATAATACACTTTTAGGATCCACATCCAAGAACCAGGACTCTCTAACAACGACTCATCTCATTGGGGAAAGGGAAGCAACACTGCTTTTTCGTCTTTTGTTTTCTTAGTTATGTTCTCTGTATTTTATATGTTTGTGTTATGTGTTATGTGTAACGTTGCTGCCTTCTTGGCCAGGTCAGCATTGAAAATGAGATTTTATCTCAATGTTTTTATCTGGTTAAATAAAGGTTAAATAAAAAAACACAAAATCAGATGCAGATGTTTTTCACCCTTACCCTGTTGCTGTTTGAACTAATGAATTTCCCAACGGGGATTAATAAAGGTCCTTCTTATCTTCTTATCTTATGGTCAAATGAAGTGGTTTAATGACACAATGACAAAACACTAAGTAAATGGATGCAAACAAATGAACCTTCTAATTAACAAATAAACACAGAGCCAAGATGGGTGCAAAAGAGGACCACTTAGTTATATTGGATTAATATTAAGCACACAAAACCTCACTGAATCTAGTGGTTAAACAATTAAGGACCAAACAGCCAAAACAGCACTTACTGCAGGGACATTAGCATAAAGCTCTCTGAGCAGGGTCAAAGGGAAAGTGTTGGCCCAGTCTAATGATAAACACATGACTACACACACAATGTCCAGAACAAAGAGTTAACCAGGTTAACATGCGTGGCGTCTGACATCGATTCAACGCCCTGACTGCCGGCTGTCCACAGCTTATATGGGCAACAACAGCAAGTCGTCCATCTTTGGTAGAGTTAGTCTGACAGACAGCAAGTCTCCTCCTGCTCTGCTTCACTTAATGCAGTGAAGGAGGAAGCAGCCTCTGCATGTACCAGCATGTTGTTGTTCATACCTGAACATATAAAAGTGAGGGAACCATCACATACCTTGAGAGGGTGTAGCTGGCTCTGTTTGAGAGCAGGAAGGAAGGGAACAGGCTTTACTGCACAAAGAGAAGCAGTGTGTGTCATCTGTAGATTACAATAAGCAGTAAGTAACTGAAGTAAAATGCTAATTGTTACAACAATATTAACAATCAATAATGTCATATATTATAATAGAGCACATATGAAATACATTTTCCTGCAAAATTAGTCCTCTTACTTTTGATACTTTCAAAGTGAGAGTAAGTGTGTTTTAAAATGCATTTACTTGTGAAAGGAGTCTTTGATATTAATAATATTAATTATTTTGTTGATGCGCCGGTGAAGATGGCCGCATCGTCTTCGTGCTCCTCTCCAACTTTGCCCATTTTCGTATTTTGTACATATTTCTTTTACTTTTGCCGTTTTACTTTTAACATGGTTCGCAACATGCTAGCCGACCGCACCTACTCTGCCATACAATATAGCAGAGAGGAACTTCTCCAATTGCGAAACTTCGTGGACAATATTAACCCTCCGACAGACAATGGAGATTCACCATGGCTACCTGTTGCTGTTCTACCTGAGAGACGCAAGAAGAAGACAAAGCGAGGATGCCGGGCCGGGTTGCTGGTCAGACTAAGAAAACGTGAGAATCGGCCCCCTCTTCCGAGTATTCTTCTGGCTAATGTTCAATCCATTGAAAATAAGCTAGATGAACTCAGAAGCCGGATTGCTTTTCAACGGGACATTAAGAACTGTAACGTGTTAATTCTCACTGAGACTTGGCTCAACCCCGCTATCCCGGACTCCGCTATTGTCCCTGACGGATTCTCTATTTTTCGTCAGGACCGGACTGCAAACTCGGGGAAAAGTAAGGGAGGCGGTGTGTGTGTAATGACTAACAACAACTGGTGCTCAGATGTGAAGATTATTTCATCGGACTGTTCCGCACAGCTAGAGCACCTCATGATCTCATGTCGGGCCTTCCATCTGCCGAGGGAATTCACATCTGTTGTGATAACAGCAGTGTATATCCCGCCGCAGCCACTCGCCGACAACAACACGGCACTCGATCAGCTGTTTGGGTTTATTGATAAAACCGAGACTTCACGGCCAGATGCGGCGTTCGTTGTGGCCGGAGATTTCAACACCGCCAACATGAAGAAGGTTTTGCCAAAATATTACCAACACATCAACTTCCCGACGCGCGGGGGAAACATACTGGACCATGTTTATTCCCCTTTCCGGAATGGATATAAGGCTCTCCCTCGCCCTCCCTTCGGCAAATCAGACCATATCTCACTACTGTTGTTGCCTGCTTACAAGCAGAAACTTAAAAGGGACAGACCGATAACAAGGACAGTACAACGATGGAGCGAGGAGTCAGATTCAGCACTGCAGGACTGCTTTGCATCTACGGATTGGAGTGTGTTTGAGGACAATAACATCAACACACACACGGACACTGTCATCTGCTACATTGGGAAATGCATCGATGACGTGGTACCGAAGGTTTCTGTACGGACATTCCCAAATCAAAAGCCCTGGGTAAACGGTGAGGTGCGCGGCAAACTGAAAGCGCGCACTCTCGCGCACACAGCGGGAGATTTGGAGGAGTACAGGAAGTCTAGGTATGATCTCCGGAGAGCAATAAAAAATGCAAAGAGACAGTACAAAGAGAAGGTGGAATCTGACTTCAAAGGCTGTAACACTAGGAATATGTGGGCGGGACTAAGGACAATGACTGACTACAAAGGAGCAGCGGGGGGTGCTGCGGGAGTGTCTGCGTGCGCATCTCTCCCAGATGAGCTAAATAGTTTTTTTGCACGCTTTGAGAGCAGCCAGGCTGTGGAGGTACAGAGGGACCAGGAGCTACACTGCCCTTTTGTTTTAAATAGGGCAGATGTGTGTAAATCCTTTAAAAGGGTTAACCCACACAAGGCTCCTGGACCTGATGGCATCCCTGGCCGTGTTCTCAGGGTGTGTGCAGTTCAGCTGGCAGAGGTGTTCACAGACATCTTCAACAGGTCCCTGCTGCAGTCTGTAGTCCCCACATGTCTTAAACACTCCACCATCATTCCTGTCCCCAAAAAGACAATCATCACCTGCCCCAACGACTACCGCCCAGTAGCACTCACCTCCATCATAATGAAGTGCTTTGAGCGGTTAGTCAAATTATTCATCACCTCCTCCCTCCCTGAATCTCTGGACCCCCTGCAGTTTGCCTACAGAGCAAACAGGTCCACAGACGACGCCATAGCCCTCACCCTCCACACTGCCCTCTCACACCTGGACCCGAAGAACAGGAACACATATGTGAGAATGCTGTTCATTGACTACAGTTCAGCATTCAACACCATTGTGCCCTCCAAGCTGGCCATCAAGCTCAGAGACCTCGGGCTCAACAGCGCCCTCTGCGACTGGATCCTGAATTTCCTGACGGGCAGACCCCAGGCAGTGCGGGTGGGAAACATCACATCCTCCACCCTGATTCTTAACACCGGTGCCCCTCAAGGCTGCGTGCTCAGCCCTCTCCTCTACTCCCTGTTCACCCACGACTGCGTGGCCACACACAGCTCCAACACCATCGTGAAGTTTGCTGATGACACGACCGTCATCGGCCAGATCATAGACGATGACGAGACGGCATACAGAGAGGAGGTCGAAAACCTGACATCTTGGTGCCAGGAGAACAACCTCCATCTCAACATCAGCAAAACAAAGGAGCTGATTGTGGATTACAGGAAGCAGCAGGGAGAGGGACACGCCCCCATCGCCATCAATGGGACTACGGTGGAGAGAGTCAAAAGCTTCAGGTTCCTTGGGGTCCACATCACTGAGGACCTGACATGGTCTCTTCACACCACCACCATCACCAAGAAAGCTCGACAGCGGCTCTTCTTCCTCCGCAGGCTGAGGAGGTTCAAAATGGATTCCAGGATACTCTGCAACTTCTACAGGTGCACGATAGAGAGTATCCTCACTGGCAGCATGACGGCCTGGTACGGCAGCTGCACCGACCTCGATCGTAAGGCTTTACAGAGGGTGGTGAAAACTGCACAGCACATCACCAGGACGGAGCTGCCATCCATGGAGGACCTTTACTCCCAGCGGCTCAGGAAGAAATCACTACGGATTATCAAAGACCCCCATCACCCCAGCCACAAACTGTTCTTTCTGTTGCCGTCTGGCAGACGTTACCGCAGCATCCGGGCAAGGACAAGAAGATTCGGAGACAGTTTCTTCCCGCGGGCAGTGAGACTGTTAAACAATTGAACTGTTGAAACAACATCAAACATTCAACTGCTACTCAGTAGTATGTATCTAATACCTAATATATATATATCATTCCAATAACTTGTATATAGACTCATACTGCACTATTCCACATCATAACTTTATTTCATTTTTATAACTATTATTATTTTTGTATTGCTCTTGCTCTTATTGTTATTATGTTATGTTATTATGTTGCATTGTTGGAGAAGCCTGTGACATAAGATTTTCAACTGCATAATTACTCTGTAGCTATGTCAGATTGACAATAAAGAACCTTGAACCTTGAACCTTGTATTGGTACGTTTACTGAAGTAAAGACTCTGAATACTTTTTCCACCAAAGCAAAGTACAAGTTGTCTGATCCTCCTCACCGTCTAAGTTTCTGTTACTTTATATAAGAACAAGGTGAACGTCTTCTTGAATATCAGACAGTATATGCCAAAAGGTGGCGCAGGAATGAGTTCTAAAACCAGCATTTTGGCACTTCCTTATTTTACATTTTGTTCTACGACATTGATCAAAAACCCTGCACCACTGGAAATAAGGAGAGAGTTATCTAAAGTATTGTTGACATAATATCAAAGTAATATCACCAAAAGTAAAGGTTTCAGAAAGAAGTATGATATCTGTAACAACTGAATATGTCATAACAGAGCTTAGAAACAAATTGTCTTATTTATTTATTTATTTGATAGGGAGAATTAATGACCATCTGTATAAAATGCCAATGTGCGTCCGTAGTCCCCAAACAGGTAAAGAATACAGAACATTTACCAGTACCAATATACAATCACAAACATACAAAGCACAAGTTAAAAAGACAAATTCAATGCACTAAATGACGTTAGAAGAGATCCTAGTTCTGGTTTTCCTTAAAGAGTAGTCCTACCTTGAGATTTCTTTAAATCAGATTGTGGTTCTATCAAAAGTATTCAGTGTGTTTGAGATGTTTAGGAAACTCACCAGAGATTCTGCTGTTTGTTGAGAAAAACCTGAGATTGTTGATTCTCCTTCAGAGAGAAACAGAGAAAGAGAGAAATGCTGTCTCTGATAAGCTGTTCACCTTTATCTGAAGACGTGGCATTAAACTACAGTAAACACAAAAAGAAGACGGACCGGATCACACCTGTGACGTGCATGGCTGTGTCTTGGTATGAAGATTATGCAACCACTATCAATACAATCTACAGCCAAAATCAGCAAACAAGTCTGAATGGATCTTTTAATAAATGTGAGGGGTTCTTAGTATCTGCTGACCAAAGGTTCTTCGGGGTAGAAGTTAACATTTACCGCTAAAACGCCGGGTTACGTATTGTAACCCTTGTTATATTAACACAGGTGGAGCCCTCTACTGGACTCTATGGGTACTACCCTCTATGCAAGCATTCACCTAATGAGATTTCTATAGACGTAGCCGGCCTTGGGGTGGGCCTACCTGAATGCACGCGCATCTCACCGTATAAAAGGAGGCCTCGCCTCCTGACTATCATCCTATACCTCTCTTCAGCGAGCGGAATAGGACAGACAGGGCCCCGAGTAGAGGGCTCCGCCTGTGTTAATATAACAAGGGTTACAATACGTAACCCAGCGTTATATCTCTCACAGGCTCCGCCCTCTACTGGACTCTATGGGTACAGTGGGTGGAGCCCTGATGTATACGCGCACTGTCGTCCAACAACATCATTCAACCCTACTGCCCCTGACCAGCTTTCCTGGTCAGCAGCTGCTGCCCCCCCCTCTCCTTTAACCCGGTTGTGACCGTGGAGAAGTCTGGGCTGCGGCTGACAGAGCACACCCTGCTGCGCCTACCTCGCAGAAAGTGCTCCCGCCTGTCCGTAGGCATGTGCAATGCACTCGCAGAGCCAGCCTGCCAGGCGTTTCTTGGACAGAGCTTTCCCGATCAACCCGCCCCGACGCACACAAACAGCTGTTCGGTGCGTCTAAGGGCAGCCGTGCGCTCCACATACCATGCTAGCGCACGCACCGGGCAGAGGAGGTGCAGTTTAGCTTCCCTGGCCCCCCATGGGGGGGAGACTAAAACATAGTTAACATGCGGAATTTCCTGCAGGAAATGTGGCGATTCAGGCTGCGTAGATCTAGAATAGGTCTGAATTCCCCTGTTTTCTTGAGAACCAGGAAATACATGGAATAAAGACCCTTTTCTCTGTGCTGAGGATGCACAAGAGACACAGCCTGTTTCTGCACCAGAGCCTGAATCTCTGCTGAGAGGAAACTCATCTCCTCCTGGGTTGAAAGATCTACCTCTTGCATGCCCATAAAAGGAGGTGGGACGCTGCAAAACTGGAGTGAATAGCCCCGTTTCAGCGTCCTGTCCATCCACCTTGTTAGCACACAGCTGAGTTTCCATTCCCCATAACATTGTGTTAATGGGCAAGCCCTCAGCTGTGGGGCCGCAGCTATGAAGCTGTGATACTCTCTGGTGACCCGTTCCGCCGCAAAACTCCCCATGAAGGGAAGATTTGCCCATGGAGGGTCGACACAGAAAGGGCCGATTATTTCAATAGTATGAAGCTGCAGCGTCGGAGGCCGCACTCTCAGGACCGCACTCCCAGGACCCTAGTGGTTTTGCAACATCGCCACCTAGCGGATTGGATGACCGCAAAAGTAGACATTGTAATGCTTGTTATTAACCATCTAAAAATGCATGAAAATCGCAAAAGTAGACATTTACATGCATGAAAATATGTTTTTATTATTATTATTATATTTATTATTGTTTATTTTATTTATTTTTTACAACAACAATTTGTTGTTAATATCAAATGTATTTTGTATGTCAGATGTAAAAAGATAGTCTTTTATATTTGTCTTATCAAATTTGACATACAACGTAAATATATATATATATTGTAGTAATAATGATATCATCTATTTATAATTGTAAATGTATATTGTATGTAGACATACATTTATTATATATATTTTTTTATTGTATTACACGTTCAAAATAAATCAAATCAAATGTGTCTTTGAAGAGGTGCTAGATTACTGAAAAACCACTGTTAGTGTGTTTATGCACCAGGCTGCAAAAGATAAACATGCAATTTGACCGAGAGGCATTTCAGTGCAGAATACATTTATTGGGCACAATTTGCACACTGTGGATTCTTCAATCTGCTGTTGGTCTGCTGTTGACCACCTTCTCCTGGGAGATATCCATTCTGGCACTCTGTCGTGGCACTCACTGGCTGAAGGGTTCCCTCGAGCAAGCTTCTGGCCTCCAGAGTCCAGAAGGCAAACCTTTGGCCATGCCTTTGAAACAATAAGAACAAGATGTAATCTAAAGTATTGCATAGGGAAAGGCTAAGGCATTGGTGCACAATTGATATGCATGAATAATCTCAACAGATATTGCCATCCAGAGTCTTACAGCTCTTGTTACTGATGGTCTACTGATCTGTAGATGGTTAACCTAATATAACTAACAGATGTTCTATTGACATGCTACTGAGTTTGTTGAGAGATTGTAGATAATCTACAAGTGACCCTCAAAATAAAGTGTTACTGAAATTAAAACACACATATTGTTAAGGGCTTTCATACCCTTGTATTTCAAAACGCTCCATGAGGATAATAATAACTGACTAAAACACCTCATGCAATATATTGCAAAACATGTCAGAATTATGAGACTGTCTGACAATGACTATTAAAGAAGCATTTACACTGAAGACAGAATTTAGGCTACTGCTGATTTAATGTAGCGGACAAACAGATCATATTGACATGCTTTTGTCATCCTTTGAAGTTTAATTAATTAGCTGACTATAATTAATGATCAGAGTTGGGAAGTTTACTTTTTTAAATGTAGGTTACAGATGACTGATTACCCTGTTAAAAATGTAATAAGTAATATAACTGACTATGTAACTATTTGTATTGATAATCTAATGTTAATTATGGTTATTTTATGTTTTTGTGAGTCACTTTGGATAAAAGCCTCTGCTAAATAACATAACCATAACATACGGTTTCATTAAACAAATAAACAAAAAGGCTAACAGTTGGTTTTGCAGCGAGTCATCATCATAGGCTAACAGATGACATTTAGCACGTGTTGCTTGTATTGCTGTCCAATTGAATACACCAGAATAGTTGTTAACTTTAAACAAACAACATGATTCACATTACTCACTCTCTTACTGTAATTAAATCAACAATTAATGTAGGACACCTAGTTGGGCTTGCCAAAATCACACTACAGTTTCATTAAACAAATAATCAAATATGCTAATGAAGCTAATGCTTTTGCTAATAATGCTTTTACCGAAAGCTATAGCTAACGAATAATTGTTTTTAGTGCCTTTAATACTGTTAGAAGATATCATAAGCTAACAGATGTTTGTTTGTATTGCCTTAAGACTATCATAGTTGTTAGCTAATCACAATTCATTTCAAGACACCGGAATTGTTATTAATGTTAAACAAATAAAACTTTAAAAGCACTTCACATTACTCACACTCTCTGCGTTGTCATTCATATTCAGGTCTCCTGCTCGCTAGGTGGCAGTGTCACGAAAAACTAGGGTCCTGGGAGTGCGGACCTGAGAGTGCAGTCTCCGACGCTGCAGCTTCATGCTACTCGATTATTTACTGAGGTCCCTGAACGCACCGCCGCACGCTCTTGTGTGAGCGCGCGCTCCCCCATAACCAGTGACGTGCGGTGAGGTTCATGGCTGGTGAGGCACTGACTCTTTCAGAGTCAGATTTACAAATATTATATTTTGACCTTAATCGAAATATTCGGTTATTTTCAAAAGCTTTTTTAGTCTGATGCTTCGATTCATTTTAAACAGACCGTTCAACAAAAGGATACCCAAAATCTAAATATTGGATTGTTCTTTCTTAGTAAGATCCCATGTTCATTAGAAATGTGGTCTTACCTTGACTTGAAGATGAAGTCCATGCTATCCTTCTGGACAACAATCTATATTACTGTTTTGTAAAAGTCCTCCTTATCTTCCTCTAGTTTCAAAACAAAAGTCTAATTTGTTGTTTGCATCTACCATCTAGAGATGGGCGAGTCCTGATTCATCCGGATCATTAACCCGGATCCTAGAAATGAGCTGGTCGTGACGAGTCTCCCCTCTCCATTAACCCGAGTCCTTTGAGTCCCACACTTGGTGTGACGTACAAATTAAAACTATAAATTGTGTCACTCGCTACTCTCTTTATAACATGTAAAATCACATTACAACGTACCCAAGTCCATCTGCCTACCCTTTAGCAAGTAGGATAGCTGCCAGAAGTGATCGTTTGGCTCAGGGGAGGGGACGCGGATCAGTGAAACTTCCTGCAGACTCGTGGGGACTCAGAGGAGCCGACGGCTCCTAACCGTAAATAGCATAGCAGATCCAGAGATCCATACTCGTCATGTGCACGAGCATAGCCCCTCCTCCAGCACCCGGCTCCCGCGCTATATTATGCACGAGTCAACAGCAGACTCGCAGATTCGCAGATTCGCAAATCCTGACTCGCTGCAACACACAGCAGAGCAGACTCGTGCGGACTCGGAGCCGTATATAGCAGCAGATCCAGAGATCCAGCAGACTCGTCCTCATGCACGAGTCAACAGCAGACTCAGATTTGCCAAATCGCAAAATAACCCTTTTTTTTGTGATCAACATTTTTTATTAAAGCAAAATACACTGTGTAGCGGAGGTTAATATAACGTCAGTTTAATAGATAGATAGATAGATAGATAGTACTTTATTGATCCCAAATTGGGAAATTGCTGTTGTTACAGCAGCATAAAAGGCATTTTACAATAAAACAAAACTACAAAATATACAAGAATAGAAATAAAAATAAAATAAAATATAAAATATACATGTCGAAATAGAAAATATACATGCAGATATTATATTTAAGCAATAGCTCACGACAGGCCGTGGTATATGCTCATTATATCACAGCTAACGTGGTTGTCGACCCTCCGCTTCGCGTCGGGCCGAACCACGCCCCTAAGCTGTGATATAATGAGCATATATCACGGCCTGAAGTGAGCTATTGCTTTTATAAAACGGTTACCAAGTG